ATATTATGCTCGATTGTGAATATTGGTGGATATTATGCTCGAATATTACATTCGATTTGAAATTAGAATACTATGCTCGATTATGAATATTGTTAGATATTTGAAATTAGGAATATTATGCCTGAAATCCTCTCGATCGAAGAATAGGGGGAAACAACTAGGCTGTACACAACAAGACAATATGCAACACAAGCATAGTTCAACTGAACATGTGGGAAATTCGTCAATAATTTCAATCAAATTTATAATTCAATAATTTGATAAGAAATTAAAATTATACAAAAACAAAGAGTCGAATCTATATATATATAATTGCTAGCTAAGCAATAAAATCGTGTGTACAATTTATTTTAACCAATGATCAAATTTTAAAATATAATATTATTATATAATTTATAACTTTAATATTATATACATAAATATAACTTATAATACTATATGTTTAATTTTATTTACATCTGTGCAAATACATAAGGTCGAATACTAGTTTAGTGAATAATTTGATAAGAAATTATAATTGAATAAATCAATCGAATTAATATAATTTGATAAGAAATTATTATATAATTTATAATTGAATATTTATTAAATAATATATAAATCTCGATCAGTTGAAAATTAACATATATTACAATCTCGGTCATTTTTGCAGAAAATGGCATCGTCGTCCTCGAACCCTCAACCCTACACCCCACACCCCGGCCCCAATGTCCCGTCACTTCTATATCTTCATAACCGCCACCGGTCCAACGCGGTATATGAGGACGCACCGGGGTTTCGCCACGGCGTGGTTAAGCCACGCCGTGCGGACACCCAGTTCTGGGCTGCCTTGGAGGGCAACAAGCAGAATGCCCGGACCTGGGAGGTGATCGACAAGGCCGGCTTCGGGCCTGTGTTTCGGATGGGGCGGGTCCCGACAAACAACGGCCTCATTACATGCTTGCTGGAGAGGTGGCGTCCGGAGACGCACACCTTCCACTTCGACTTTGGGGAGACCACGATCACTCTCCAGGACGTTCAGATACTGTTTGGCCTCCCCGTCAATGGGGAACCGTGTTGGGGACATACCGTACAGAGAACTCCCCAAGAGTGGAGAGCCGTTTGCGCGGACGCTCTAGGGTACCTCCCATATGTACAGGTATATTTTTACCTAAAACTTTTATTTGCTTTTTTTTTTTTTTTTGTGTTTATGTATACTTAAGTCATGAGTCGTTTTTAATATATATATGTAAACGTATTTCAAGAATGTCGGGGACCAGGACTACGACCCCAAGACTTGGGACATTTCAGGCCAGTTCCTGTTTTTCAGTAGTCTAGAAGACGAGTGCAAGCGACCACTGGAGGATGGACTCCCTGCATCAGAGTACGAGGAGAGGGCGAGAGCCCTCATACTCTGGTGTATTGGGTCCTTCTTCTTCCCCTCTCATCGGGCCAACGGAGTCAACCTCTACTGGCTGTCCCTATTGAAAGTCATTGATGTCATTCCGGGGTACAGCTGGGGTGGAGCGCTTCTGGCCGGGGTATATAGAGCGCTCTGCGAAGCTTACTAGAAGGAAGAAAAATATATCAAGAGCTGCGTGCAGTTGATTCAGGTAAATTTATTTACTTGTGGTTTGTATATTAATTTTATTTATTATAAATTACAATAATATGTGCTAAAAAATGTATATGTCCATATGCGCAGGTTTGGGCAGGGAACGCATCCCTCGTGTTCGCCCAATCATGAAAAATACGCATTTCGTCTCTCAGCCTGGTTGTCCTTTGGGTGCAAGGTAATAATAGCCCATTTATTTATATTCAACTCTTAAGTTATTTCAATTATCAATTTTTTTAATTACAAATAGTTTTTTTTCTGTGATTTTTAAGGTGGGTGGGATCGAGGGACATGAGGCACCTGGGGACGGGCACGGCTACCATCCGAGATCAGCTGAGTGGCCTGAGAGAGACTGATGTAAGTTTCTTAGGTCATAATAATAAATAATTATTATTTTTTTAATGCTATTTTTTTTATTACATTCATTAATAATTCTATAAATATTTTTTTTTTTTTACAGTTCGATTGGGTACCCTATCAGACGTACATAGACGAGGGTCGGCTCCCGGACCAGTGTACACGAGACCGACATCTCAGGATGTACAAGGAGTGGATCTTCTGCTGGAACATCACAGAACCCCACCAGCCTGATAGGGTGCTCCGCCAGCTTGGGTGCCACCAGCCCATCCCCCAGACGCCGATCATTACTAGTCTGGCCGACTGGGACACCCGCCACAGAGGCCAGGGCATGACTGGGAGGGGATATACCGATTGGCAGGTCTTCCATGCTGATCTTGGGAGGATCTGTACCGAAGAGAGAGATCAGAACGTCCTCCCAGATGTCCCGGTGGATCCCTTCCTGCAGCCGGCAGAGGGGTACATTGATTGGTATCACAGTAGGACTGTGAGACTATTCAATGACCCTAACAACTACGCGGCGATCTCACAGGACGGCGGGTTTCAGCCATATGCCGACTGGGAGAAGTGTCAGGTAAGTGTCTGCTAATTTGTGATTATTATTATTATTATTATTATTATTATTATTATTGAAGTTATTATTATTATTATTATTTTTAATATTGAATAGATATTGAATTTTATTTTTAGAATTCGGGTACGGAGGAGGCGTATAACATGCTATCGAACATTGAAGACATTGATACGCTACCTCCCCGAGCGCAGACACAGTTCCAGCAAGCTCAGGAACTTCTGTACGCTTCTCTGACTGTTGGGGGTCATTCGGTCACACAAGGGGCGTCGTCGGAGCAAATTTTATCTCAAGAGGAGTACGCCCCACCCCAGCAGACACAGTCCCAGCGGACGAGGCATAGACCGACGTCCCACATTGGTGGAGGGAGAAGACGCCGTGACCGCGCATATATATTTTTTTTGTTTGTTTTTATTTATTTGTCCGGTCGAATTACTAATTTTTTACAAAAATTAATTAATTAGGTGGACAAGAAGAAGAACCAGTCACGCCTGGACCGACTGCAAGACCAACTGCAGGATCGTCTTCTTCGGTACCGGGGCCTCGGAGAGGGTCCCGAAATCGTAGGGCTAAGGTTGCATTTACTCCTAGTTAGTTAGTTTGTTTTGTATTTTGTGATTTTGTGGACATTTTCTTTTTTCTTTTATTTTTGTACTCGATTTTCAGATATTTATTTTTGATGGTTTTGTATATTAGTGGTTCATTTTTTTTTATCGGTAATTGTGGTTGACTTTTTTTATATAGTGTTTTGTGTATGTATGTATGAATAGTAGATTTATAATTTGACAAATGAATAGATTGATATTAAAGTTATATTATTTCATGTTTAAAATGTTAAATCAATATTTATAAAAAAAACCTTTATATTGAAGGATAAGAATAAAAATTCAGCTAAAATAAACGCGATTGCTGATAAAACAAATAAAAATTCAGCTAAAATAAACGCGATTGCTGATAAAACAAGTTCGTGAGCATCAAAGAGTTGAGTTTAAAAACAAAAAAACAAAAAAAATAATACAAGAAACACAGATTCTTAAAATCCGTGTCTCTAAAAAAAATTTAATTTATTGAAACACGGATTTTCATAATCCAACATAACACGAATTATGAAAATCCGTGTTATTTAACACGTTATTTCAAAATCCGTTTTCACTTGACTTAATTAAGGGTAAGCACGTCATTAAGGTAACACGAATTTTCAAAATCCGTGTTTTGGTCAAAATAAGTCAAACACGGATTTTGAGAATCCGTGTTTCAGTCAAAACTAGTCAAACGCGAATTTTCAGAATCCGCGCGTTTTAGATTTGTCCACACCCTTTTTTTTTTTTTATTTTTAATTTTTTTTATTTAATTTAAATAAATGATTCTTCTAGAGAAACTTAAAAATTGTAGAGTGTTTACAAAATGTCTCATTCAAAATATCTCCGCAAGGACCGCAACTAATCCATTATTATTATTTTACAAGAAAAACTTCACTTTTAACACGCGTTTTCCCCTATTGCATGGCGCGGGCGGCTCCATGCATGTCAATGTCGGCCCAAAAAACACGGACTTCTTGCTTTTTCTTATTCCCTAAGCTATAAACAAACCGCACTTCACATGGAGACACCACATGAGTACATGACCCTATCATTATATAAACCATTTTAGAAACTCATTACATATTTTCCCCAAACACATAAACCTCAATTCCCTTAATTAATCTCACACAAAACAAAATCTCTCAAAATCAAACAACATATGATGGCATTATCAACTTCTTCCTTCATCAACTCCTCACCAATGCCAAAGGCATCAAGATTCTCCACAAGTCGGATAATAATGAAACCGAACTCCATTAATGTGCGGGCATCGAGGCTTGTGGACGAGAACATGATCGTTCTCCGCAAGAGAATACACGAGACAATTATGAGGACAAGCGAAGGCCCGCCGAGCGAATGGATGGATTGGGAGAAGGAACTCTACGCGGGTTATGATTCCATGATATGCGACGTTGTGGGCCACCTGCAATCGTTTTTGATGGACACGAGGCCTGGCGTGGCCTTGGGAATGGCCACACTAATTGCTCTAAGCCTACCAATTTCAACTCTATTGCTTGTTTATAATTTGTTGATGCTCATTAAAGGTTGCTTATAATTAATTAATTAATTAGCTAGATGGGTTGCTTTGTTTCTCTTCTTTTTTTTTTTCTCTTATTTTTTTTCTTGTTGTGATGTGTAAAAGAGGTTTAGTTGGAAAGGGTTCATGGATTGGGAGGTAGACAACGTATGTACAGATGTGTAATTTTATTTTTAAGGGATAGCAAGAGAAGACATAAGCATCCATTGCTAATTAATTAGCCGATTATGTAATTAAATAAGTTTATATGGACATCCATTGATAAATGATTTAATGTAAGTAAGTTCACATGCTGTTGATTACATTTTACTTCATCTCTTATATTAAGTTAATGTCGGAAGTGGAGATAAGTTGCGACAATATAGCAAAAAACAATGGTCTAAGATGAAAAGGGTTTAATGTACCAAACCCCCTTGTATTATACGAAATCTGCGCGTTTCCCCTCTGTATTTTAAAAATTGCGTCAGATCCCCTTCTATTAAGGTTTTGTATGCGCGAAACACCCAAAATTGCATCAGACCCCCTTCTATTAAGGCGATTTTGGGTGTTTCGCGCATACAAAACCTTAATAGAAGGGGGTCTGACGCAATTTTTAAAATACAGAGGAGAAACGCGCAGATTTCGTATAATACAAGGGGGTTTGGTGCATTAAACCCGAGATGAAAATAATGAAATAAAGGATCACAATTTAATTATATAGGTTAAATGGACCCAACTAATCAAGATAGTTGGATGGGTATCATACGAGTAATCTTTACTCTTTTCACTTCATAAAAGCCAATAAACGCCCGTTCTATTCAAACGAATAAGAGAAATGTCTATCTGTTAGAATATACACTTGTGAGTTGTCCCACATCGTCTATACAAGGAAAATAGGTCTAATTTATAAGCCTAGTGGGCTACTCCTCCTACTACCAATTGGTTTTGGTATGAAACCCCACTTGGGCTTCATTTGGACTTCCCTGATTTGGTGCACTTCGTCCGTGGGACCGCACCCGTCAACCCCGTTTGTCATGGTATCAAAGCTGGTTCACCTAGTCCAGTTGAAATTGGGACTACGTGGGACCGCAGCTCACCCGTCACCCAGCTCAGTTGGGCTTGGGCTTTCGAAGGACTCACAAGTGAAGGGGGATGTTAGAATATACACTTGTGAGTTGTCTCACATCGTCTATACAGGGAAAATAAGTCTAACTTATAAGCCTAGTGGGCTACTCCTCCTACCACCAATTGCTTTTGGGATGGAACCTCACTTGGAATTGATTTGGGCTTCACTGATTTGGTGCATTTCGTCCGTGGGACCGCACCCGTCAACCTCCGTTTGTCACTATCACCTACAAATTTCTTTATAATTTTGCATTTGCAAGTCTTATATTAAGTTAATTTATTGTTTATGAAGTTGATTATAATTTTTTTATTGATTCTTAATTGCACTAATTTTTATTTAGGGCTCGTTTATGAATTATTTATACTTTTATTTTAAATATCATATATTTACAAAAATAATAAAAAAATGTAATACACATAAAAAGGTGAATGATTAAGCCTACAAATTAAAATGGGCTACTTAGGCAGTTTTAAACGAGTTTCTTTTGAAGTAGAAGACGATACGCTAAAAAATTCACTCTTATCTAGCCTTCTTTAAAATTTCTCTCTCTAAAAAAAACTTCAGATCCCTATTATCCCTTAAAAATCCCTAATCCCTTTTCTCGCCTTTTAATCTAATCGCGTCGCCTTTCCCAGCAGGCCTCCCAAGGCTCCGGCGAAGGCGTTCTTGTGCCTCGCAGCCGGAGTCCCTATGGATCGTTGTGAGGTGGAGCGGTTTCTGACAAAGTTGAGAGAAGAAGGATGTTGAGCGAGTCATCTAATCTGATGATCTCGTGTACGGCGCTCTCATATATATTAAAACAAGTAGGGTTACAAGATTACACAAATACTTGCTCTACAAGAAACTAACTAAACTAAGGGCACAAAAGAGAATATACAATAAACTACATCNCCCCCCCCCCCCCCTCAAGTTGGAGCATGGGGATTCTGAATGCCCACCTTGCCAAGAAAGAAGTCGAACTCGCGCTTGCCAAGTGCCTTGGTAAAAAAATCAGCCAACTGAGAATGTGTAGAAACATGAGATGCAGAAACAAGGCCTTGAACAAGTGCATCACGAACGAAGTGGCAGTCCACCTCAATATGCTTAGTCCGTTCATGAAAAACGGAATTCGCAGCAATTTGTAATGCTGCCTGACTATCACAGTAAAGACGTACAGGCTGCGAATGAGACACACCAAGACTGTGTAGTAATCCTTTCTACCATTTAAGCTCACAAATGACTGTAGCCATAGCTCGATACTCAGTTTCAGCAGAAGAACGCGCCACGGTGTGTTGTTTCGTGGTACGCCAAGAAATCGGAGACTGGCCTAATTGGACAAACCAGCCACTGAGAGAACGGTGCGTAAGAGGACATGTCGCCCAGTCAGAATCACACCAACCAGAGAGTTGAAGATCAGAGTCAGAACGAAGCACAATGCCTTGCCCAGGAGACCCCTTTAAATAACGAAGAACACGCAAAGCAGCCTCCCAATGCGCTTGTCGAGGATGATGCATAAACTGAGCAAGAACATGCACAGAATAAGACAGCTCAGGACGTGTAACTGCCAAATAAATCAATCGGCCAACCAAGCACCGGTAAGCCTCCGAATCATCCAAGAGAGGACTAATATCAACAAGAAGATGGTGATTCTGTTCCATCGAAAATGCAACTGGCTTGGCACCCAACAAACCAACTTCAGAAATAATGTCCAAAGCATATTTCCGTTGACACAAAAAAATGCCAGAAGTGTTACGAGCAACCTCAATGCCCAAAAAATATTTCAAGAGTCCCAAATCCTCCATGTGAAGACAGCGGCTCAAGTAACTCTTAAAAGCCACAATGGACATAGGATCATTACCAGAGACAATAAGATCATCAACATACACCAACACGTGCAACTCCACAGAACCACGATTCAAGGTAAACAAAGAGTAGTCAGAGTGCGACTGAGAAAAGCCATACCGACGGAGAGAAGTGGCTAGTTTCGCAAACCAGCAACGTGGAGCCTGCTTCAAACCATACAAAGAGCGACGCAAACGGCACACCCGTCCATCATCACCAGAATGGAACCCTGGGGGAAGCTTCATATAGACCTCCTCAGCCAAATCACCATGAAGGAAGGCATTGTAGACGTCCATCTGATGAATCTCCCACTGCCGAGCTGCTGCGACTGCTAAGAGAGTCCTCACGGTAACCATTTTGGCAACAGGAGCAAAGGTGTCGTGATAATCAATGCCCTCGACCTGATTGTTACCTAAGATCACAAGTCGCGCTTTATAGCGCTCAACAGAACCATCAGATCGATATTTAATTTTATAAATCCACTTACAGCCGATAACACGTTTTCTGGGAGAAAGGGAAACCACCTCCCAAGTACCATTATTCTCGAGACCTTGGACTTCATTCTGCATAGCCACTCGCCATCGACTATCAGAAGTTGCCTCAGCAAAGGTACGAGGCTCAACCGCGGAAGCAAGAGCTGCCAAAAATGACTTATGGGCCGATGAGAATGAGTCATAACTAACATAATGTGCGATAGGATAAAATGTACCTGAGGATGATGACGAAGCAGGCAAGGGAGCAGAGGGACTAGGGGGACAGACAGTTGCAGCGACAAAATCACGAAGGCAAGTCGAGGGGTGACGGGTGCGATGACCACGACCTAACAGCTCGGTAGACTCAGCGGGGACCGAAACCGAAGAACCCCCCCTGTCGGTGGACGAACCAGACGTAACAGGCGGGTCAACTACAACAGCCGGAGGCACAACAACCGGATGATCATCTTCCTCGTCCAAAGTAGGAGGCCAAGTCACAATAGAAGGCGACGAAGTGGGCGAAAGAGCAGAAGAAGATGTCCCATAAGGAAATTCCGTCTCAACAAACTCAACATCTCGTGAAACCAAAAAAATCTCACGTTCCAAATCATAAACACGCCAGCCTTTCTTTCCAAGGGGATATCCCACAAATACACACCGATGACTGTGACTAGCAAATTTGTCCCCATGTCTATCACGATTATACACATAGCATAAACACCCAAAAACTCGCAACCGAGAATAATCAGGCAACTTCCCATAAAGCATCTCATAAGGAGTTTTGTTGCCTAAAACATGTGACGGGGTGCGATTAATCAAATGAGCAGCAGTAAGAACACAATAACCCCAGAATTGAAGAGGTAGATGCGCTTGGAAGCGCAAAGCACGAGCAATATTAAGAATATGTTGGTGCTTACGTTCAACACGCCCATTTTGCTGAGGTGTACCCACACAAGAGGTTTCATGTAAAATACCTTCACGACGAAAATAATCACTCAAGCACACAAATTCAGTACCATTGTCACTTCGAACCACACGCACCAATGTGCCGAATTGCCGTTTAACCATAGCCAAAAAATTTATCAAAATTGAAGAAACCTCTGTCTTATCAGTAAGTAAATAAATCCAAACACCACGAGAAAAATCATCAACGATGGTCAAAAAATATCTAGATCCACAGAAAGCCGGAACCCGATAGGGTCCCCACAAATCACAATGTACCAGATGAAAAATGCCAGTGCTCACAGTATTACCAAGAGAAAAACTGTCTCTAGTCTGTTTTGCTCGAAATCAAACATCACACGATTTATTCAAAACAGAAAACTGAGAATCAACGAAAGGCAAATGTGACAAGACACGATTTGATGGATGTCCAAACCGCTGGTGCCACAAATCAGCAGAAACCTTTACCACTCGAGCAGATGAAGCAGAAACTGTCCCCCTAAAGTAGTATAGTCCCCCTAGTTGCTCACCCACTCCAGTCACCATCCCCGAAGTGCAATCCTGAATGACATAAAATTTATTAGTAAAGTGTGCCGTACAACCTGACGTATGCAGCAATTGGTATGTGGATATTAAATTGCACTGTAAACTGGGTACAAACAAGACATCATGTAAAATAATAGACGATCCCAAATAAACAGTGCCCAATTTACTGGCAGACGTCAAAGACCCATTGGGTAACTGAACGGGGCGAGAAGGTATGTCACAAACATCAGACAAAAATTCCATAAAACCAGTCATATGATGAGAAGCACCACAGTCATACATCCAGTCATATAAACTCCGCTTACCAGACGACTTACTCTCCTGTTTAGCAGAATTAACTAAATGAACAAGTTGAGTCCATTGTTCATCCGTCAATCCACTGAGAACACAATCGGAAGAAGCCAGACCCACATTTGAATTGGCCCCAACCTGGACAGCCGCGGCGGCAACATTAGCTTGCACAGGAGCCCTGCCGCTACGGCCACCGCGTCCGCGCCGTCCACCACGACGGCCACCACCACCACGGGGGTACCACTCCGGGAAGCCGATAACCTCAAAACAACTGGCCGCGAGATGTTCGGTTTTTCCACATTGAGAGCACAACCTCTGTCGGCCTCCGCCACTGCCCGCAGAACCGCCAGAGTGATCAAGTGAAGAGGTCGTCACCGGTTGGACAGAGCCAGTCGCCGGCAGCATATGAAGAGGTTCGCCACCAGCGCGCCCACCGCCGACGGCATCGTCAGGCCCGCGAGAGAACAAAACCGGGCATGTTCAAATGGCAAAATCGGCAGCAGTCTCAATATTGTCGTCGGCGATCGAGATAGTGCGCATTCTTTCTTCCTGGATGCAAGTGGAGTAAACCCGATTCAACGTCGGGAGAGGATCTTGGGCCAACAAATTCGACTGAGTGGGACCATAGAGTGTGGGATCCAAACCTTTGAGAAATTGATGAACTTTCTCACTTTCTTGTTTTCTGTTCCAATCAACGTGCAAATTGCACTGACAGAGACCACAGCGACACAAGGGGGGTTTATCATAATCTGCCAATTCTTCCCAAAGTTTGGAAATTTTACCGTAGTAGGCTTCAATACTCATTCCCTTCTGTTTACAGGCCACAAGATCGGACTTGAGTTGTTGAATTCGGGGACCATGACCATTCTTCATTGTAAATCTCTTCTTCAAGGATGACCAAAGTTCCTCGACAAATTCCGGTTCCACCACTGAAGATCGGAGTGTGGTATCGATGTTGTTCATAAGCCATGAGAGCAACAGAGAGTTGTTGGCTTGCCAATCTTCAAACAACTCGTTGTCGGCAGCAGGCCGCGCGATCGATCCATCCAAAAAGCCGAACTTCTTGCGCACGCGAAGAGCGGTGCGCATGCTACGGGACCATTCTTCGTAATTAGTATCTCCTTTTAATTGAACTTGAGTAATCAAGAGGCCAGGATAATCGCTTGAGGTGATATCGTAGGGAGAAATTGTTTTTCTCGGAACAGGCTCGGTAGCGGCCATGGGAGAAAAAAAGAGAAGAAACACGGAGAAGAGAAGAGGAAAGAAAAAATGGAAAAGATTATCCCACAGAGAAAAAATTATCCTGCTCTGATACCATGGCAAAGTTGAGAGAAGAAGAATGTTGAGCGAGTCATCTAATCTGATGATCTCGTGTACGACGCTCTCATATATATTAAAACAAGTAGGGTTACAAGATTACACAAATACTTGCTCTACAAGAAACTAACTAAACTAAGGGTACAAAAGAGAATATAAATAAACTACATCAACAGTTTCAGCAGGTGGAGGCGGTGCTCGCCCCCCGACTAGGTCTCGCGGCGATTCAGGTTGCTACGACGGTGAGGCGGGTGGCCGTGTTCCTGCTAGCTTGGTTTAGAAGAACCTCTTGCGCTTACCATGGGCTTGGGTCGTGGCTCTAAGTCTTTTTTGGAAGGGACAGGGGTGGGGAGATCAGCCCCTTCCTTTCGAGCATCCCCTTCGGTTTGGTGCTAATCGGAGAGGACGGCCGGCGTGGTCGGGCTGTGGTCCGGTCTTTGGTGTTCTGGGCCTAAGCCCATGGCATTTACTGGTGCAGGTGTGGGGCGGCTGTTCGGATTCGGGTGGGTTTTCGGTGTGGGACCCAGTTAGGCAGGTGTGGCAGTTTATGGATCTGCTCCTAAGATCGTGGCTCAGTCCGCTTGGATGGTCATCCTCTGGCGTTGCCACAGTTGGCTTGGTGTGGTTCGTCTGCTGGGGAAGGGTGTTTAGCTTTCTTTTGTATGCTTAGTCGTTTTATAGTGTGTTTGGTTGTTTGTTTTTTCTAGTTGTTTTGTGTCTTGTTGGTATGATGTTGGTGTTTTTTTTTTAGTTTGAGTTTGGTGTAGTCGGTATGTTGTGCGGGGTGGTTTGTGTTTCTCTTGTGGGGGAGCGTGTTTCTCCCGTAGGGGAGTTTTCTGTTCTTCAAGTGTGGAGTTTGGTGTTTTTGGTTGTCGTTTGTGTGTTATTCTAGTGTAGGTCTAGAGCTGAGTTGTTGGGTTGTTTTCTAGATGTAATTATGTATTCTTATATGAAAGTTCTATCGTTTTGGAAAAAAATACAACAAAATAAACATTGTGGTTGTCTTGTGCGTCTCGGAAATATAAATTACCAAATATACCACATTAGATTATAATTTATATTAAATTCAAATAATAAAATATAAATCTAATTTTAATTTAAAGGCCAAGATTTTTGTGTCAAATTTTAAATCAAACATTTTTATAAATAATTCATCAAATGCCTAAATTAAATCTCACGTATTATACTCATTTTTTGCTGACCCAAATTGGGCTCACGAAGACAGCCATGGCACAACCACCACAAGATTATACCCCTCGAGTCTCGATACCGAGAAGCACCTCGGCTAAGACGAAAGTCGCCGACCTCGTTTCGAGCTACGAGGCAACCATGTTGAGATCTGCCAAAAAGTTTGCCATTCTGTTATGGTATACTGTAAAAACTCGGCTTTCAATTTTTGATAATACCATTTTGAATGGGAATATTGTTTTAGTCAAGTATGTGTGTTTGCAGTTTATTTATTTATGCAAACATAAGTTCCTTTATTCTACACTATAGAGAATGTGGTTCGATGTGTCGAACAAAAAGATCATATTATCAGTCACTTGTAAAATATAAATAAATGATTCACAGTCTAGACGAAATTGAACTATCTGTTGTGAAAGGCTGTAGATTATTTTCAACTGATCTTTGACTGATGAATTACACTAGTACATCTTAAGGTGTATTGAATGGACAAACAGAGGATAAAATTATTTTATACTGACCAAGTAAATAATTTAGACCTCTGTAATTGATGCGTTCTCTAGACCCGTAAGTGAATAAACAGGCATATGTACTCAATACTTATTTGTTTGATTTACATAGGGTGATTCCTATTTTAGTTAAGATGACATACTTGGTATTTTGGTAAATAATATCGTTTACATGATGTGGTGTTGAAATTGTTTACGGTCACTACGCCCTAGTCCGCTGGGTTGATGACTTCCCCAAAAAGAGCTCAGGAAGCACTTACTATGTTAAGCCCTGTAGCCAGATTAATTTCTAACATAAATATGAAGAACTAAGTGGTACTAATTTTGGATAAAAAGAAATTAATTAATTTCAATTGTCAGTAATTAAATTAAGCAATGAATGGTATATATTAAACATAGAGAGGTAAATTGATTAATTAAATTAATTAATTTAATTAATAATAGAGGCGAATTTATTTGTAAATTGGCGCTAAATGGGGAGATCAATAATATTACTCTAGTGGAATGTTTTATGTATTCAAATAAGGAAAAGAAATTAAATTGTCTTCTAGAATTTTGCTAAGTAGGAAGATCTAATATCTTCTAGAATATTACAAAAGTTGGAAGACAAGAGGTCTTCTAGAAGGGTAATAAAATTAGAAGGCATTAGAACTTCTAGAAGATTAAGAAATTGGTAGACAGGTTTCCTAATCCTATTTAGAGAATCCCATAGTTGCCACCTCCTTAGGGTCCCTAATGTAGCTTATAAATACACCAAGTCCCAACACCTTCTCCACGCTTTTGACATCCGATTTTCAGTCTTGAAAAAGAGGAAAAAATTGAGTGAAATATTTAGAAGGTTTCGGGAGTTTCGTTTAGTCGCACCACCAAGACTATTCGAAGTAGGTGTAAGGGTAATACATTTGAAGATCATAATGGATAATTTTTTACACCCCGATGAATTAATTATCACCGAAAAAAATTCCTGGCAACCACAAAATNAACCATCAAATCGCCGAAAACTGCCGCAGCCAGCAGCCCACGGCCAGCCGCAAGTCCTGGCGACCCTGATCCCAACCGCGACCGCGCAGACCGACAAGCCCGACGAAGTGACCTGCTTGCTACCATACGTGCAGGCCTGCGACACCGTCGCTCGACCGACGCGACCCGTGCATCCCCGAGCAGACCCGCGACATCCTCGGATGGCCCGTGTCCGACGTGCACGCACCCGAGGACAGCGGCCGACGCCCGCGACCAGCACCCAGAGAGCTCTCGATGCATGATGACCTGAGCTCTCGGCGATGAATCGTTCAGCTTTTTGGCAACTCGCGATCAACTGAGGAGGCCAAATCCTAAATTGAATAAATTGGAGCTAAATGGGGAGATCAATAATATTACTCTAGTAGAATGTTTTGTTATTTATTCAAATATGAAAAAGAATTAAATTATCTTATAGAATTTTCTGAAGTAAGAGAATCTAATTCTTTATAGAATATTACCACTGTTGGAAGACATGGACTAGAAGGGTAATGGAGTTGGAAAGGATTAGAACTTCTAGAAGTGAAAGGAGTTGGAAAATATTAGGTTTCCTAACCCTATTAGCATATAAATACACCAAGTTCCAACCTCCACATACGTGTGTGTAGACATCGAAATTTTAATATTAATTAGTGTCTTTATTTATTTTGGACATAAATCTAAGATAAATAATATATTTAATTAATAAAGTAAATATTTCTTGCCCACCAAACAAATCTTAAGATAGGGGGAAATATCTTATAATAAGGAAAAAGATTATATCAAATCATAAAGCACCAATCAAATTAATGTCTTCTTCTCCAACACACTCTCTCCTACACCTATAAATAGGGCTCTCCTCAAAGTCACATAAAACACCTCACAAAAATCAACACATAAAAAATCAAAGTCTCAAATTCAAGAGCTCTCAATAACCTCTCGAAGGTTTGAAATAGTTCTTGAAGATCCAAGGGCATTCAAGTTGAAGATCGGCGTTCAACTCGCAACCAAGCATTCGAACCGCCGATGTCCGTTCAATGAAGAAGAAGGCCAAGAAGAAGAAAAAAAGAGGCGGCAGCTCATCCCGAAGAAGTAAAGAGACGACTTCTACTCCTCTCAAATTAATCCAAGAATATCAACGGTGTCAAACGACATTCAAGACGCGTTCGTCGAAAAGTTCAACCAACATAAAAAGGGCAGTGAAAGCAGGGTGGCAGATGCCCTATTAAGGAAGAATTGAGTAGATCAAGAATGTCAGAGCCTCTCCACTGTAACCCACTTTGAGTACAAAGGGTCCTAGGCACTTATGATTCAAACCCTTTCTGCCAGAAGATTATTTAAGCCAATAGTGTGCAGCCAAGGACCAATCTAGACTACTCTTTACATGATGGGTGGTAA